GAATCTACATATTTGTTTATTATAATCGACAAACATGCCCAGTATCTGATATAACCAAATTGATGAAACATGCATAATTGTCTTGATACTATTCAAACAATCAAATGACTAATGTATATAACCAAATCAAGAAAAAAGTATACCACAAAGCCCATGTTTCAAAATAGCGAGTCAAAATAATAAGTTGTAAGATTATGTTTGAAAAAAAAAGAAAAATATTGTTAGTAATGTAGTGATTTCTAAAAATAAAAAAATAGAAGAGAAACTTAACTACTACTAATATTATTTTTTTTCTAGTTCAAAAATTAATTACTTTAATACATATCAGTCATGTGTAGTGCTATGATTAGTAATCGAATCTGAAAACCTGTTTAAATATATACGTGCATTTGTTTTATAATCAAGTAAAACTGACAAGCCAAATAAAACAAATTAAACATAAATCAAATGTATGACAATAGAGTTTCAGAAGTAACATCATAATTAATTGGGTAACAAAAATTGATAAAAAAGGGTTTTAAAAATAGAATAGTTAGTTATATGAAAAAATTTTATAAAAGAAAGTAACAAATCTTGAATAAAAATATTTTTCATAATTGTAGAAAGATTGAATATTTATAAAAACCTGTCGTAGCAGTTGTGGTAGTTGTTAGAAATCTCTAAATTAAGCACAGAAAAATAATCATACAGTAGAAAATGTTTCTCATTTTAGCTTTTCAAGGTTAATTATTTTTACATAATTATGCATTGTAATAAAGGCTCATATTATGATTCATTTGACATATTTAAAGATTCTAAAGGAAAAGAAAGATACAAATGTCAAAAATGTGAGAAAGATTGTGCTAAAAATGAAACTCAACTACAAGAACATTATAATACTTGCATTTTAGCAAAAAATGCAGAAAATACAATTTTATCTGGAACGAAATATCAATATCAAGCAACAGTTGATAATTTTGTATATAAATTATCTAAAGCTGATCAAAAAAATTTAGAACGTTTTTTTGCACGTGCTTTTTATTCATCAGGTGCTTCATTTAATATTTTAGAAAATAAAGATTGGAATATTTTTTTTTCAAAAGCTTGTTCATCGTTTAAACTTTCCTCGCGAAAATCACTTTCTACTACATTACTTAATCAAGAATACGAAGATTTAAATATTGTAGTTCAACACTTACTTAACCAAACACAGTATTTTTCACTTATTACTGATGGATGGTCTAATATCAATAATGATTCTATCATTAATTATATGATAACAATGCCAAAACCTATTTTTTACAAATCAGTTGCTATAAAAGAAGAGCAACACACGGCTGATAATATAGCATTAAATATTGAAAAAATTATGTTAGAAGTAGGAATTGATAAATTTGTTGCTGTAATTACTAATAACGCTCTGAATATGAAGGCAGCATAGAGAATTCTTAAGAACAAATATCCATCAAAAATCTTTTTGAGATGTTGAGCCCATGCAATTAACTTGTGGATTAAGGATATTTTAAAGATTAAATATGCAAAAACTATTTTAGAAAGATGCAAAGAAATCATATCATATTTTAAATCGCATCATATTATTTTAGCAGCTCTTCGACGTCTTCAAGTAGAAAAGTATGGAAAACAAATTGCATTAATATTAATAATTGAAACACGCTGGGGTTCTGCCTTTGAATGTATGGATCATCTTTTACAAACAAAAATGGCGATAAAATCCATTTTAGCAGAAGATAATATTAGAATTGATAGTTATATTCAAATTTTAATTATTAATGATAATTTTTGGAAAGATCTTAAACATCTTCATGACTTATTAAAACCATTCTTAATGTTTATTCATCTTTTAGAACAAGATAACCCTTTACTGTGTATATCAAGTTACTTGATATAAGAGCGGGTATACATAATAATTAGCAAGTTTCTAAAACTTTCTGTGAAGATATTTTGCAATTGGGACACAAACGATATACTGATTTTTTATATAATCCAGCAATTTTAGTTGCTTATAAATTAGATCCACGATATCGTGGTGAAAAACTTAATCCACAAAAATGGGATCATATTATAGAAGAAGAAATTATACAGCTATGTGGAATAGAAAATAAAGATAAAGTTTTATTAGAATTTGCAGAATATGTTGGTAAAACGGGTGAATTTGCAAGGCCTCATTTATGGGGTGCTATAAAAGAAAACCCTCAAAGTTGGTGAAATTTAGTAAAAGCCCGATATCTGATTCTTAGTTCTGTTGCTTTTAAAGTTCTTTCTATTCCAGCAACCTCAGCTGTGAATGAAAGAAACTGGTCATCCTTTGGTTTTATTTACTCAAAACTGTGCAATAGATTAAATAATAATCAGGTAGCAAAAATTGTTTTTATTTATTGGAATCTTCGAATATTGCGAAGCTTAGATTGGCCATTATCAGTAAGTGATTTAAAAAAATCTGGAGCCATTATTGATAAAGAGATTAGTGAAAATATAATAAATAATGAAGAAGCTAATACTAGTAAAAATTTAATGTTTGAAGAGGAAGAATAGATGTTAAATGAAGATATGTCATTTGAATATAACAATGAAAATTTTGAGGAGAACGTTGAAGAAAATTTTAAAAAATACTTAGAGAAGAATTTCATAAAAAACTCAGAGGAAAATTTGGAGGAACAATTCGATAAAGAAAATTCTGAAAATTCTGAAAAGTATTCTGAGAAAAATTTTGAAGAATATTATGAAAGCAATTTTACAAGCTTGGATGATGATTATAAGGTTTGTATTATTATAAACTATGGTCTATTGGTTCATTGTCTAATTTGTTATTATATCGAAAGCTTAACTAATTATTTTTCAGTTATTGAAATCTCGTGAAGTATACTGGTTGGTTAGTTTGTGCTTCAAACCCTAAATAAATGCAGTTCTGAAGTATTTATATAAAACTAAGTTTCATACTATGCTTATATGAATATATTAGTATATAATCTAACAAATTTATTCTATCTATTCTGATAATTGTGCTTAAAATCAAAAACTTATCCTTATCAAATAAACTTGATGGTAGTTATAAATTATCTATAAGTAATTTACTTTGGCAACGGATATATTAGACAATTGATAACAAATACTATGATTACACTTAAAAAAAATATAAGCTTAAGTGCAGTTACGCATTAAGAGGATTCAATTGATTTGCGATTATAAAAAAGGCAATAACTAAACGTATATGAAAATATAAGTGGTCATATTAAAGAGTTTATCTTTTATTAAATTATTATGCTTGGAACAATGATTTTGGCGAATTTCAGGATAATTTATACTGTATACTACAAGTGAATACAATTGTTAACTATTTATTATATCTGTTCTACCTAAATATAATAACAATAGTTGTTATAATAAATATATAATTTAAGAGAGATATTAAGTCTATGTGCGCTTTGAGCATTCTTGGCATTCATGACGCATATGACGTGATCTTGATTATTAAGTTATATAATGGTTTTAGTCACATGATTTAGCAAACAAAGTAAATATGAATTATAGAGGGTGGCAATTATAGAAAATTTAGCTAGTCAATCAAAGCAATGCATATGATTAATTTAACCCTCTCTATGTTCTTAAAAATGAAAGTAAGTGTGTATTTAGAGAGGGCATAAATTCGTTATTTTATTGTCAAATTTTTAATATTATAGCGTGCATGCATTTAAAGAAAGTATGCATATATGTATAGATCTCAAAAACTTATGTACGTGCAGTTAATAGAAAATATACAATTAGCTTTAAGTCCTGAGCTTTGGACCAAGCTAGAGTGTGCATTTAGAAAGGGTGTTCGCTTACAAAGGATGCACTTAGGAATGTATTTAATTATTGTATAATTGTGTAATTGTAAAGTGGGATTTTTGAAATATTTATAATAAAAATATAGTTTTTAAAAGCTATATCTATACTCAAAATTATAATATATAATTGGGCAACAATTAGATAATTGTATTAGTAAGATATAATAGTTTTATAATTTAGGCTTACTACTATATATTTGTAATTTACATTAGAGACATGTAATTTATATTGTAAGTTACAATGTAAGTTACGTTGTCAGATAAGTTATCCCAACCCTATAATTGAACAATATAATTGGCTAATTTTTTAACTATATATGATATAATCATGTTATCATTATATATATATTTGTATTAATATTATTAGAAAATTTAACTAATTTTTTTTGGCATAGAATAACAGCTGCTAAAAAAATTTATTTTTACTTTCGCTAGTCTTTTTTTTTTAAGATTGTTTTAATTGGTAGTTAGTTCTTTATAATATAGATTAGAGTAGACATTTATGCATGTTTCATCAATTTGGTTATATCAGATACTGGGCATGTTTGTCGATTATAATAAACAAATATGTAGATTC